GAAATCTGCAGAGGCAGTATACAGGCGTTTATTTACTTTCAACATTACTCAGAGTAATTGCATGAGCAACATTTTATTTTTGAGTTTTCCAACTTCAGACCCAATAAAATGTACCTTTGTCTTTTATTCTTCATGTTCTCATGATGCACAGTCAAAGGTTCAGCACTGTTGACAGCAGATGCTCGCTTATAGGGGGGTTTCCTTCCTGTGCAGGACTACAGTAAAACTGTAATGCTCTGACTTCAGTTAGCGCTTGTGTAAGCAGTCAACGGGAAAGTTATTTTCTGCATGACATGACAACACAGGGTGTGACTAGATACAAAGCAAAGATGGTTACTTGAGTGCAGAAATACACACACACACACACATAGAATAATAATAATAAAAGGAAATACACATATTTCATCATCCATCATGTTATACCTTCTAAACATGAGCATATTGGCGTTGGGATTGTAAGCATATTAGCATGCTGAACATTCATTTATCCAAGCCTAGAAACATTTTCCACATGCCTCATATCACACAGCACAGTTTACAAGAAATGGGTGTTTTCCTTTAACTATCACTGTCAGACAACTACACTGTTCTGCACACCTGTGATAGTGTGAAGGCAAAGTCTCAAAGTTTATGTCGCAGCAGGAACTTTTACTTTCCCTATGTAGTACAAAAATAATCAGTGGCCTTGACCCCATTGATGTGAGGTAAAGCCACAAGCTTGTGTCACCATTCACAGTTTGTACTTTCCAGCTTGGCTCAATGTGCACATCACTGCAGGAACAGAGTGATAATGAAAGTCATGCTTTTGCAAACCCCTACCAGCTTAAATGTTTTTAAACATCTTTTGCACCTACAATGCTGAATACTAGCTATAAGACTGCTGTGGTTAAACCTCCATCAAGAATATCTAAATGAAATGTGTCTAACCATTCTTTTCAGAAGTACCAGAAAAAGTTGAATCTCAACAATGTTCAGCCCACATATTTAACAGTAATCTTTTTGAACCATTTTCATCTGTTTCCAGGACCTGCCACTCCAATGAAATGGTGCTTACCTACATTGTGAGTGATCTGCTTACTAGGATTTAGATTCCTACTTGGTACTTTTTACTGCACAGCTTTTTACACTATTACTAACTGTGTACCCCTAAACAGACTAAACAGAAAATCAATTTGGTGTCTCTGGCCAGGCTGTCGCATTGGTTAAAATCTTACCTCTCTGAAAGAACACTGTTTTCAACAGTGATACCACCTCAGTATTTTCTGTGGTGAGATATGGAGTGCCTCAGGGCTCTGTTCTTGGTCTTCTGCTTTTCTGCCTTCCACTGCTTGGACATATTATACTTAGTCATGGAATTACAGTTTTTCTTGATTGCTTTGACCTGCTTAAAGAAACTGGGATCCACTCGGTTTTCATCATCACTGTCTCAGCAGAGCACAAGACACCTCTTGCAAATGTGTTAACCCTTTCTCATTGGATTGACACATTTTCCCCACCCTTTTGCAGAACAGTTAACACGGATGTCATTCAAGCAGTCCAAACTCCATTGTTCTAGCTATGGTAACCAAACAGAAACCATCTGTTCCTAACTATTAGAAACTACCTACATCAGTATGAAATCACTGAAGCACCTGTTTGACACTCCTTCACACAAATCTTCAATTAGCAATCGGTCTGCAGGCCTTAAAAGGTGCAGCGTCTGTGTTGTTCTTTGCCAACATGGATGGAAGAGGTCTAAGACAGAAAAGACTGAGTATCAATAGTGGCTATTTCTTATACTTTACAATAATAGATTTTTATAGTTTACTGTAATAGATTTTTTTTCTTAATTTCTTTTACTCTAATATATTTTATTTTGGTTTACATGTATTTTGTGTAATATTTACAATATTTCAGTTTTCAGCCATTTTTGACAACAAATGGCACTGGCATGAAAGCTACGTACAGTAATAGGCTACAATAACGAGCAATGGTGCACTGATTCGCACTGAGTGTTGTATTTTGTATTTTGTTGTCCACTGTGTAATGGTTGATTGGAAGAGCTCATACACTTGTTTGCAAGTTGTGTTGTTTGACAACAAAATTTGCTTTTGTTGCATATTTTACATTTTTTCTCAATTGTTTACACACAAATACTGGTACTTGAGACACAATGACCACAACATGTAACTCATGCACCAACCCCCTGAACCAATTCTGCTAAAGTACAAGCACAATTCCTGCTTTACACTCAAATTGCAGTTCTAAAACACATTTTTTTCAAAACACTACACACAATTCTCTGCATTTGGCACAATTTTTATGAAGAAAATCTCTTGTTTTCACAAAGAACACACTGTCATTCAAAATTCTAAAGTTAATTGCCCTACTATGCACACTGACTCATCACATGGGCAAACACCTGTCACACAGTTTTACAATTAGCAATCAGAGCTTTAGCATAAAAGGGCAACAGGTGAGCTTTTCTGTTTTGGAGCAATGGATGCCAACATTGGAAACAGAGGCAGAGCCAGAGCCAGAGGAATGAGAGTAAGAGGAGGAGGATGGGGAGGACGAGGACGAGGAAGGCCAAGGACCGTAATCTCTGATGAGATCCGAGCCACTTTTTCTGCCTGGAGATGGAAAGTGTATGACTGAAATCCACAAACGTGTATACCCCTTCTCCAAGCTATGGTAGACGCATGTGGAGATATAGCAGTTGATGCTTTTCATGGCTGGATTTGTCATGCTAGGCGATATTTCCCCCGCTGCTTGGCCAGGGAAAACATTGCTTGTGATGTGGATGAGGTGCTGTGGCCAGACCGAAACAGAAGAGAGGATGCAGCATAGTTTTTTGTTTCTTTACTGTAACTGTATACAGTAAATTCATCTGTTGTTTTGTATGTAGACCACTGTGTGTGCAACTTTGTGTTGGTTGGGATGTACACTGTGTACATTGTTTTTGTGGGAAAAATAAAATATATTTGTTACGGTGTATTTGTGTGTTCTGAGTATAAAAAAAATATTCTAAAATATTTTACAACACACTTATGTATGTACTGTCTGTAGTAAGTGTAACACTGAACAAAAAAAAGGCCTAAGTCATTATGATGAATGGAGAAGAAGTGTTTTCCATTCATCATAGTGTTTTACATTAAGCACATCAGTGTTCAACTGGTTCTTATAAATGTCTATTCATATGATGGTTTGTGTGTGTCATTTGAAAACAAAATACCATTTTGAGAAGAAATAACATTGTTTTGAATGTAAAGTTTCATTTTGCAGGAGAATTGAGGGGTTTTGCCCATTGTGTGTGCGTTTTTTGATTTGTGTGTAGAGTTCTGAGAGTATGAGGCATGCTTTCAGAAAATGTGTGTAAACAATCGAGAAAAACTGTAAATGTTTTGGCACGGTTAGAGCCTTTTGCAAACAAAATGTATCATTTTGACCATGAGTGCCACTGTTTCGGCCTGTGTTTTAACTGTTTTGAAAATGTGGAGTTTGAGTTGACTGCTGCATCAAAGCAATCAAGAAAAACTGTAATTTCCACAGCTACACTGATGATTCTCAGCTCTATGTATCTATAAGGGCAGATGATTATTCCCATATTACTAAAGAAGAGGCCTCTCATGTCTACTGTGGAATACTGCATGTCATGTAATTTCAGTTCAATTCAGTTCAAATAGCTTTAATAGCTTTTAATGTTGTTGAAGTTTTTTTTTTTTTTGTTTTTTTTTACAAATGAATACATATTAGTTGTTAGTCCCTCAGGCTGTGGCAGGCAGTTACATATTTAGCTGCCAGATGAGCTGTTGTCCCTTCACCCAGGAGAACTGCCAGTTTCTGTTGTGGGGTCAATGTAAGGAAGTCTGGGATTTTCTTGGTTATTTCTCCAAAATCTCTGACTGAGGAGATCTTTTTACAGTGGAGGAGGAAATGCATTTCTGTGTCTACCTCAGCAGTTGAGCAGTGATGACAAAGATGGTCTTCTCTGGGCAGCCATGTCTGTGTCCCTGTTTCTCCTGCCAGCTGATGGTCACTCAGCCTGTATTCGGTCAGGATCAGTCTCTGTTTCCTGTCTCTGACAGGGTGCAGATATTCAGCCAATTTATATTCTCTGTTCAGGCTCAAATAACAATTTAGTCTACTTTGTGTTTTTGTTTGACTTCTCTTGTATTGCAGGTATAGATCTTTTGATTGATTTATATATTTTTTAATTCTGTTTGTTTGTTTTGGCTCAGTGCTCATGGGAGTCTGGTTGTTTAGTTTCATCATCAGCTGACTGAAGGGACTGTTTTCAGGGTTTAGTTCTTGGGTTTGTAGTGATTTAAATTGAAGTGTGTCTTTTGGGCTCAAATTTAAATGTGTCCAAAATGTTAAGGCCCATATTTGGATGTTTAATAGTAACGAAAAGCTCCCCATTTCTGCCTGACAGGTGTTACTTGGCATGTTCCTCTGGACAGTCAGAGTTCTTCTGCAAAATTTGGTGTGGAGGGTTTCTATGGGGTGTTTGTCCCATGAGTCATGCTCCAATCCACTCAGCGGGCCCCAGATCTCACTTCCATAAAATGCTATTGGTAAAATTACATTGCCAAATATTTTTGTCCATATTCTGATTGGAAAATAAAAGCTCAGTAATTTGGTTTTTATTGTGTACAATGCTCTACATGCTTTTTCTTTGAGGGCATTTATTGCATATTGAAATTTCCTGATGCAGATAGGGTCAGGCCAAGGTAAGTATATTTTTGGTGTGTTTAATCAGGGTTTTATTCAGGTATTTGTTTTCAAGACATCTGGGGGGTCTTTTTTGTTTGTTTTGTTTTTTTATTGAAAGCACAATGATTTGGGTTTTCTTAAAATTTACCTCCAGGGCCCAATTTTGGCAGTAAAGTTCTGTAATTTCCTACTTCTAAATTCTGATAAAATCCAGATGCTGGCCATTGGCCCTGCTCAACAAAGACACCAGTACAGTAAAAGCTGTTATCACATGTAATTATATATGATTACACACAAACAAATCCTTTAAGTGTGTTGTAAAGCATTTATTACCTGTTACATGTACATATTATTGTAAAATTACAAATGATTAACAGTCAAGTTTAAAACAATTCGTAAATGTATTTAAAACACATTGACACATATGATTACAATGGTTTGCTAATTTATGTAATCAATCATTTTAACTGTTTAGACAAATGTTTTGGATGATTCTGTTGAGCTGCAGTTGCTGAAAAATATATCATTTATAAGAAATGACGACGACTAGAAATTTTAAAAGAGGAATCTCCATTCGTTACGTGCATCATTTCATACATGATTGCTGACGGCTTAAAAGCCACCCTCGCTTTTGTACCACTGAGCCCTGGCAATAACATCGTTGGAGTAGTCTCCACACCAGGTTTTGGCGTCCACCTCTTCATAGGAGTGGATGTTCCCATCCCCTGCATGGTAGGCTGCTATCCCACCTGCAGAGACCAATACAAATTAGAGCAAAGCAAAACAAAGTGTGAGGCCAGTTTGTCATGAAAGTCTAATAATTCAGTGAAACAATATACCTTTCAGCTGCTGCTCCTTGGTCCAGTCTGGAAATGCATGCTTGATGCGCAACATGAAATACAGCAGGATGTCAATGGCTTGGCAGAGGTGTTCCTCACTGTCCCATGCGCCTTTTGGGATGTGTCCACCTCCATTTGGATTGATATCAATCTATGGAAATATTAGGTAATAAAGTTCAGATAAACACAACTGTTTTGCACTGTAACACAAGACACTGGAGAGTGCATAAAAGAGTATGGTTATGACCTGCATCAGCCCGTAGGTATTATAGGCTTTTCTCTTCTCGTCATAGCACCCCTTGCCTGCCGTCAGTGTCTTTCCAGCCCTGCATGACCTGGAAATGAGTGCAGCAATGAGAGCTGGATCAAGTCCTTTCTGACGAGCCGCATTTTGGATGATGGTTTTGTATTTGTTCATCTCCACCAGATCAGTCTCAGCCATGGCGTATGACGCCTTCACACCTTTAGAAAGTAATCAAGGAGAGAACAGGGATCAGGGCTCAGTCTTGTCAATCTATTGATACAACTACAGCATAAATATAGATAATTATGTAACTGTAGATGGGTGGATCTGTTTTTACCTGAGTATTTCAGCTTGTCCTGCTGAGCTGTTTGTTGTGAGGCGCCGGTAGTTTCCACCAACATGATGTTTCCGTACCCTACAAATGTTTATTAGAATATTTTTCTTCAACACACTTGTACATCAACAAGAGCACATATCACGAGGACCTAAAGTCTCCTGAACCAATCAAAATCAATCACTTACTGGAAACAGGTGCCACTGAAGCCTCACCGAACTCCTCAGCTGGAAATACACAAAACACACACAATGTTTAACAGCACCTAAACAATTAATAATTAACAGACTGTACTGATATAATTATGAGCATTATCTGATAACCGTAGACAAAGGGTGTGAATGCAGGCAGGTATAGGCTTAAAATGAAAGTGAAAATGAATTCTAGTTATCGCTGACTGATTTAAAAAAAAAAAAAAAAAAAAAAAACATTGTGAAATATCTTCTATGCCTCTGAAACACTTTTGTTGCATGGACTTTGAGACAAAAAACTAACATAAGGGAGTGAATGTGGAAAGCAAGAGCAGAGGACAATGAAATAGCAAAAGCCATTGGGGGCACGGTACCAAAAGAAAAAAGATTAAATTCGCAAATTTGCACATAGAGTATTACTTGTCTGCAATTGATAGGAGGGTGCACCAATATGAAATAAAGTCTTTTAATTTCAGAGAGATTTTGGGATGCAGCAACCATCAACACAACATCCATCCACTTCCGCTATAATTTTCTCTGGAAAAGTGCGGGCAATGTGTTACCAAATGTATAGTTTTGTTGTGTATTCTATGTTCTTAACTAAAATAACGTAATATGTTGTCTTGTATTACATCGCAATGTTTATCTTTTGGAAAACCTAAAAAAAAGGAATTACAGAAAAAAGGATGGAAAGCGCAGGGAGACGGCTGTGCCGTGCTGCTCTTTAACAGAAGTGCATCGATTATTCAGAAGTACATTTGCAAAAACCAAGCAGGTGGTGATCATCCTTCAAGACTCTTCTCGTGTACAAGTAAAAAAAATCACTTCTGACACCAAACTTGTGTCCTTGTGTGCGTGTTAAACTCACCGAGGCTCTTTTTTTGCTGGTTGCAGCCAATCTCCCCCAGCGCCTCCAGAGCCACCTCTTTAGCTTTGACTTCGGTGTGCAACTGAACCAGGACACGTGCAATTTCTGGACGACTTTTTCCCTCCAGATCTGCCAGTCTGATCCGCGGCTCTTCCTTGCGGTCCCGTACCACGGAGCAGAACCTTTTTACTTGCTCCTCGGACAAGTCATCCAGCGCGTCCGTTATAGCGCGTTTAACGGACTTGGGAGGCATCTCTGCACCTCAGCCGGAGGACCAGAACACACTGCTGCTGCTGCTGCTGCTGCTGCTGGGAGCTCTCCTCACTGGTGGAGCACAGCTGGACTAGGAATAGTCTGCTGTGGGATAGCCTATAACTGCACTGTGAAAGGCAGCAGCTGACCAGAGGCCGGAGCGCAGTCAAACAGAGTGAATCTGAAAGTACACTGAATTTAATGCCTGACTGGGAAACTCCCCCCATCCCAACAGTCATCAACCAAACCCTGAGACATTTTCTACCAATCACATTTTATTTATTCATTGTGTTTCAATTGGTTGTCTATTATTTTGCTGTGTAATTATATAGGTACTGCCGCAGTGAGGTACAATAGGCTATAAACTAAGGTGTTATCAACTTATCTCTTTTAGACAGATCCTGTGTCAAAATATAATCTTAAGAGCTTCATTGCATGGTCATGTTCTCATGGAGCATATTCCTGAAAAACATGTCAAGATTATTAGTTTGTGGGTCTGGCCCAGTGGTGGAAGAAGGATTCACATCTTTTATTTGGCTTAATAACAAAAATATTCTGTTACAAGTCCTGCATTTAAAGTCTCACTTTAGGAAAAGCACAAGTGCACAGTAAGTTTCCCAATGTAAAACACGCAGTGTTATAGTAGACTGACTCTTTCAGAGATATTACAACAGCTAGAGTAAGACGCCCCCCAGTGTTGGCGTTAAACTCCATAGTTAAAACAGGTGGTGTTAAAATCATTCTCCCGTTGGTTGGCATTCGCAGTGAGTGAGTGAATTTGGAGTAGCGGGTGCAAGATATGCTCAAACCATTGTATGGATCATAGACTGACACAATACACTCCACACATATCACCATGGCCATGATCGAGACAAGCAGTTGCTTGTGTCCTTCTCAGGAGGATTTGTGAGCACTGCAGATAACACAGTCAACATTGAGAGACCACTGAGGTAGGGAGTGAGATGCAGATAAAGCTGGGTGGACAGACAGTGACATAGACCATGGAGGTGAAGTTCAAGGTACAGGCCCTGTCATTGCTCAGAAACATTAAATGACAGGTCAATGACAATAAGATTCTCCTAAACTCAATCAAGTTGTTCAACTGACTGCTAATCTTCACCCAACAAGATATGATATTCAAGACAAGCATAGAGTATGAGCTTACTCCTTTCCTCTTGTCCTTGTTTGGCTGCAAAGGTCAGAAAATTAAGGAGGTGAACAAGGCAGGTTTTTCCAAGACCAGCCTAAAAGACTTTACCACTCACTGTGGTTTCCAAAAATATATGAGCATGTGAGAGTCTGAAATAAAGATATCTGAAACACCAGAGATGTCTTTCAATCTTTTAATGCTTTGCACAAAGGGTCAGGTATGGCAGGCAGTCTGCAGAGTGTAGACAAAAGGTATCCTTGCTGGGACTCCTTTATAGACAAGTTAGGGAGGAAACTGACAAGAAGGTACGCGCACCTGCAAGGATGTCGACCGGCTAGGACCGGTTCTGTGGTCAACAAGTCGACTTAGCCTTGAACAGAATGAAACAAACATAACGAATCCTGTATGGTATTTGATTGTGTAATCATTTTTAAATTACATGGGAGATAGTCATTGGAGAGTTCTATCAGTGAGCAACTTACAAAAGGCATTTGTTGGACCAAAGTTAATACAAGTGATGGGTTTTATAGTTATTTCGTAATTTTCCATTACACGACCAACCTTTCTCCAGTCTGGTGCTCGATGGCAGATGACTTCTCTACATGGTCAAGTAGGAACAAGGTCAGACTTGGCAGGAGATGGCCAACAGTTACCTGAGCTATGTGGTGTCTTTGGCAGTCGCTCTCGGAAGATCATTCTTGTCTTCGATGGCTATAGCAGCTCATGTCCACATCCAGTGTCCAAGAACTCCTGCTGTGATCAGCAGTTTCGACCAGTTAAGATACATTTGACGGCAAGGGCAAAGTTCATGGATAACACTCATAACAAGAGTGAGCTCATCCATGTCCTCTTTTCAACATTTCAGAAACATCCGATCACCGTGGAGCACTGTGACAACGATGCTGACACTTTGATTGTGGCTGCTGCCACAAATGACACTGTTGAGGTCATTATGAAGCACTGTTGCAGTACTTACATCAACTGCGATTCTGTGGTTGATATTTTGCTGTGTTGTGCTGTATTTTGATTTGCCATGTTGTAATGCAAGTGTATTTATCCTCAGAAAGCAAGAATATTAGCATTGTTAAATAAAATGACATTTGCACAGTTTTTGGCACAGTTTTAGATGCTTTGCACACTATTTTCAGGTGCGGGCAGAAGATACAGATGTGCTAGTAATGCTAGTGCACCATAGCTCAAACACCAATCACCCACTCTTCTGAACCATGTCGAAGGGCTCTTACAAGGTCAGGAAGATCCAAAAGCTCTCTCTGAAAGACAAAGGCACTACCTGCTCTTTTCTCAAGCCTTCACCGGTTGTGATATGGTTTCTGCAATCTGGGGCCACGGGAAATCAACTCTCTTTGACAGGTTTTGTGTAGGAGACACTGATGAACACATGGACATCTTCCTTTACAACACATTCTCACTCCGACCTCGTCACATTTTGATGTTTGGTCATGGACATAGGACGTGCAAGGTACCCTGGGTGTGTTGGTTGTTGACAATCTGGGACACTGTGTTAAGTTCTGCCTGTTACATGCATTGTCTTCTTTCAAGACACACTTCTGTTTTCACAGGAAATTTATGTTGGTACAACACCGCAAATTCACTTTTTTTCCCTCAACAACAACCACACATGGTTGAGTTTCAGCAACAAAGACACGTGGTTAGGTTTAGGAAAAAAGAAGTGGGTTTGGCTATAGAATCTTACAAGATGCAATCACCACTTTCTCAGGTGAAAGTTGGTGTTTGTTGGACCCATCCACCTCCTCTCCCACCTGCCCCACTAAGACTTTAGCCGCCTTAACTTTCATCCTTGTCCCGTCGTGTATGCCTGGATGCTGCCGGGTGCTGCTAAACTATAATGATGACCGGCCTTGTATCATGCTGATGTTAAAGGATTGGTTTCTGATGCTGCAAGTCCCTGCCCAAGTGCCAGATCTTGACGACTTCAGAGTGAGACCTAGCTCTTTAAAAAACTAATAGTTCATAGTAACCTATATACACAAAATATGAAATTTATGAAATCTCAGATTCCTGTAATAACAGAATCGCCAGGGTTACATGTTGAGTCATGAGGGTCTGCTAGCTCTGTTGAAGTCTCTCCCTCTTTCTCCTCCAACTCAACCCCAAAAAGCACAATAGCTGAACTAAATGTGCATATATTTGACCATTTTACAAGTTCCTGAAATTCACAGAGTCCACTCTTCTGCTGAATCAGAAAACTTGGGGTTTTTTTTGGTTGAAAGATATCCCAATCCTACTGAAAAGCTTTGAACAATACACTCTGAAGGTTTGACTGAAATCAAAAACAAAAGTAGAGTTAATGATCTAATCTGATTTCAGAATCCATCTTTTCTTTTAATCAACCCATTTGCGAGATTTTATCCAATCCAATAGCTGAAACCTGATCAGATTATTTCTGAACACCTGGGCCCAGGACTTGATGCTGGTCAAGTTGGCCCAGTCACATCATCAACGCTTACAGCAACACAGTATTCCCATGCACAAAACAGACACAAAATGGCTACAAAGAGACACAACATTACCAAAAAAGACACAAAAATGATCACAAAGAAACATGAAATGACAAAAAAAGACAAAATGACGGCAGAGAGACACAAAATGATCATAAAGAGACACAAAACAAACAAAAGACACAAGATTACCCCAAAGAGAGACAAAACATCGACAGACACAAGAAGACCCAAAAAGACACACACCAAAAACATACAGAACCACCACTAAGCTTATCGGCAAGACATTTCATATGTGTTGCCTAAGCACAGTTACATTTTGAGACAGACATACAATTTAAAGAAAAAAACCTAATTAAGTGAAGGAGTAAAAACCTAGGCAGAGTGTGATCCATGAGGAGATGAACTATATGTTGTTGTGTTGTTGTCTCTATCTATCTATCTATCTATCTATCTATCTATCTATCTATCTATCCATCCATCCATCCATCCGTCCGTAAGGGAAGGTTTAGACAGAATAATTTCAATAATTTCAGGTGATGAAACCACATCATCTGCACAGGTAGAGTTAGACAGGAAATATATTTTTTTTTTCTGCTCAATACACATATTATTTTCTACTATTTTATCTATTATGTACATACGAATGTACGAATGCAGTCAGGCCTAGGACAAAACTTTCTGTAATGTTACAGAACTGTCAAACCAAATCCACCATGGACATTTGGTCTGACCAGTGCCTGAAAAAGGCTCACACAATGGTAAGTTACTCTTCTCTGTTTAAGTTTTCTAAAATGAAAAGTTATGTGCTTGATGTCTTTCTCAGTGAACAAATTAACCAATAAAAATGTAACCTTTTCTCAGGCAAAAGGCCATGACCTAAATGGTCTTGAAGAGCCCCTACAAAGAGCCGATGGAACACACGTCAGTAAAACGCACCCTGAACCTGACAGTCTTGACTTCAGTAATTTAAAATGGAAGGTCTGAAAAGATGGACCACTGTTTGAGACCAATAAACAAAGAAAGCAGTTGTGATTTAGCAAGTCATCGCTGTGTTTCCAGCAGCTTTTTAAAGACCAAACGTAGTTGCAACCCCTTGCTGATTTTTTCCAGTGGGGATGGTGCTTCCAAAACCAGCTATTTTAAGCCATCTTTTCCTCACCATAACCACATGGTTTTTGTGCTTGAACCTAACCACACGTTAACCACAGTGTTGGTGCGAGAGTAAACTATTAGAAGTTTGCAGAAACATACAATGCTAACATTTTGGGTTGTTATGGTGATAATTTTTAATAAGGTGAAGACTTAAAACATATTTAATTAGAGTACAAAACAGGAGAGGGCGGCACGGTGGTGTGGTGGTTAGCACTGTCGCCTCACAGCAAGAGGGTTCCTGGTTCGATCTCGGGTGTGGGAGCCCTTCTGTGCGGAGTTTGCATGTTCTCCCCGTGTCAGCGTGGGTTTTCTCTGGGTACTCCAGCTTCCTCCCACAGTCCAAAGACATGCAGGTTAATTGGTGACTCTAAATTG